CAGTGCTAGTATTGTATGATGAACACTCTTGAGGTAAGGTATGCAGTCCTGTCAGCTGGTCCTGTTTCTATAGAAATTTGGGGTTTGGGCCTCTTCACAGCAAAAGCAGCATTCTGCTGCATATAAACTGCATTCTTTGTTTATAGTAGACAAGTTCATTAATAAACCCCAGAGTAATCAGCTGTAGCCCTGTGGTACAAGTAATTTACATGGTGTAGCCAATTGTAGCTCTATGCTACAAATTGTCTTATGCCTCTTTTTTATCCCTGCTGCATATACCTACATTATATTTGCCCAAGCAGACAGCAAACTATAGAAAGAGAAATTAATATCTAAATAATATAAATACCTTTTCTATTCAATAGATTGTAGTTATTCATTCCTCTGCTTCTGTAAAATCATTTTACATGGTCTTAAAATTTCATGGGGAAATTTAACTGTCTTACCAGTGTATCATTTTGATACTAATTTGAGAGTTTCTGGAGTGAAAAGGGTGTTTTATGGGGAAACTCCAAATATGTGAAACAGTGCCTTTTATATTCATACTGCACTGTAAGCAGTATAGGTACTTCTAGTACGAAAAAACCCCCCAAAACCCAAACAAAAAACCAAAAAAACCCTGCTACTTTTGCAGAAATGGCTACATGGTAATTGCCTCTGAAGTACTTTTCTTACTGAGGCGTAAGAGGTCAGTAAAAAAATTAAGAACTGTAAGCAATCACAAGTACTAACTAACTTGGCAGCTGTTGAGAGATGTAACTCTTGATTTTTGAAAAAGCTTCTTATGTGGAAATTAAATTTGAAATGTGGAATAACAGCAATGAACTAGTATGCTGTGTGGTGTCATCATCAGTTATGCTACATACTATATACCCCTATTGTAGCTTGCTTCTTTTATGGGTGTCCTAGGTATTTATAAAGCTAGGGGCCTCTGCTGTACATTTTGTATTGTCTAATAGTTTTTAAAGACACTTTTTGAATAGTCAAACCAGTATTTGGCAGTAAACAGGCAATACGCAATTCTGCTTGCAAGGAAAATGCTTGTTTAATTAACCAGCTGTGTGTTAAATGGAGCTTGGGCTCACAAACAGTAACAGATGGAAAGCTTAACTATTACCAGGTTTTTTTTAAAACTTACCTTCATTTGAAAGGGAGAGCTTTTTTTAGCTCTCAGTGCGTAAGTTTTTCTCCCAGTAGCTTTTCATATCTCTTTCTGACAGTACCCATCAAAGGCCAGTTGCCCTGGCCAATTGGCCCTGATTCCCTTCATGTACTGAGCTGTCACATTGCCCTGTGTGACTTCCTACTGTGAAACTGATGCAAAGCTGTTTTTAATAAGTGAAATGTAAATGACAGTTTGAAGTCTCAGTCTGGCAGAACTATACAGTTGAGTGAATGAGGTAAAAAACCCACCAAATTAAAAAAAAAAAAAACCCTGAAAAACCTGAAGTGTCTTTAATGCTACTTATGCCGTGACTTCCTTCCAGTTGAACAGATGGCTATGGTATTTCTAAATCTTCAGTTACATCCTTCTATATCAATTTCTTCTACTGGTTGAATATGCTTTCCCTCCTTCCTAAGTGGTTTATACTGCTGCTTCCTCTGTTTTATTCTCCTCACTATAATAGGAAGTGAGCACTTGCATAGCTTCCTGCTGTTGAATCTCACACCTTTTCAACATTGTCACTTTGTCAAATACCCCCACTTAACCTTACTCTGTCTTGTTTGTTGTTCTATGTAATGTGATAGACTAGTCTTGCAGGGAAAAGGCTATGCAGAAGGAGTAAAACTTCCTCATTTTGCATTGCACTCATCATTAATACTGAATTGTGGTGGACTTTGTATGGGTTTAACTCTATACACTTAGGATGGTAATCTCTATCATCAGCAAGCAGGGTGTGGAAAGGAAGGAACAAAACTGTGTTATATCCTCAGCTTTTTAGGTGTTTTTTGGGGTGGCTTAAGTTGCTGCTGCTTTTATCACTTGCAACTCAAAATACTGATTTGAATGCTGCTCCTTTTGTATAACTTCTAACATGGAAAAGGAATGTAAATGGCAAGGCCAGCTACATGAGAAGAAAGCAAAATGTTGCTGAGAAGGAAATTCAGTGTCATTATTTAAAAAAAAAAAAAAATAAACAGACCTCCTCATCTTTTCATTAGTTAACTTTTACTTTTCTCTAACTGGGAACTCTTTAGGGATAGTGTAACAAAGATGTCATTGTACTGCCAGGAGCTTTGGTAGCTGTAGCTACTGCTAATTTTGTCTTTCACATCTATTCAGATGAAAATGAGTACTCTTGCTGTTGTAGAATATTTGCTGTAATGATGCAGTTTTAAAATTGTTAATTGAATTTTGGATTTGGTGTGGCAACAACAGCCTCAAGTAGTACAAGAAAAAGCAGTATTTGTCAGGAGGATCCTTCTGTCTGTAAGTCTTTAGTTCAGAACAGAAGTGGGAATAAGAATTAACATCACCCACCTTCCTGTTCTTATGTTTTAGGAAAAACAAGGAAAGAATAAGAAGCAAGCTTTTTTCCATGGGTTTAATGTGAAAGGCTAAGTGTGTGACTAGATCTTTACTGGCAATTTTTTCCCTCAAGAAAATGCATGTGAGACTATTGCTAGTGATTTCACCAGTCAGTTTTGCTGTACTTGTGTGTCAAGCAGAGAAACTATAGTAGTAATGTATTTGCTAAACTGGACCACACTTTCTCTCTGGCTGCTTCAACATGCCTGTCAGCTGCTTCAACATGCCTGTCAGATTAAATAAGCTGTCTTTAAACAAAAAATGAAATCTGAAATAACACAGAAAAGCTGGGCCAAGTCACTATGTAGATCAGCATGCTGTATTATATACCTTGCAGCTCGATCTGCGTAATTGTTTTCCTAGTTGCTACTTTATTCCATATCATCCTAATTGTTTTGTTTCATGAAACAAAAGCAAGAATAGTACTTAAGACTAACACTTCTTTCATGGGCCAACTCTTTGGGTTATCTATCTCCCAAAGAAGCAACAGTAGCAATAAAATTCTGATGAAAGCTTACCTAAAGAAAATGTGTAGGCACTAAAACACTGTCTGACAGTGTCCTGATCCAGCTAGACTTGCTTTATTTCTGAGCCCCTGACTAGCAGGTTTTCTTTTAACCTGGAACTCTCTGTTTAAATGCATGTTCAGTCTTCTATCAAGATAGTAGCATTAGGGAAGAGGGTTTTAAAAAAAGCACTACAGGCTTTAGGCCATCACAGAGTTTGTGACATCCATGTCTTCTGAATCTTGTATAGTTTTCTCTGGAAGTGAAGCATTAAGAAACATACAACCAACCCCTGACCTTACTGTCAGATTAATGAGTACAGATCTGCACGTTCATGATTTTCTTACACATCTTGGCTTGCTGTGAAACTAGCTTTATGTCTGAATGAGGCCGTTATTGCTTTACATAGGTAGTTGATTCTTATATCCCCATGAAATTGACAGTTACAAATAATATTGTTAAATAACATGACTACAGCTAAACTGGTCCAAAGACACAATAAAGAAGCTAACAGATTTGGTTTTGTGTACTAAGCTTTTTCTCCCATAGAGCACAGACAATATCAAACAAGCTCTTGTCTGATGGTAAACACCCATAACATCTTGAACTATCTGAATTATAAATTATTAGCCTTCTTGTTATGTGTTCCTTTTTCAGTTCCTGCAGAGTTCGGAAAACAAAGCACATGGTGGCATCGCACATTTCTAAAAAAATCATCTATTCAAAGGGGCTATGTATCAATTTCTAATTCTGACAGCATTTGTTAATGAAATCTTGTGTAGTTCTATAAAATAAGTCTCTTCACGTAAGTGTGTGTCTCTTCTGAGAGTGAAGAATTGCTGAATGAATTTGGCATAAAACCAAGGGGAAATAGATAATGCCACTGAGGATTACTCTAGTCTTTACGCTCCAAATTCAGTTTGATCACCATAGCAGGCCATCTATTACATTTTTTAAAAAGAGCTTTGGTCTCAGTGCTACAGAGAAAGGTCAGGGTTTAGATACAACCTGCTAAATCTACTTGTCAAGTTGAAAATTCTGCAGCTTTAAAATAATGGTAATTTTATTGCAAGACATATTCCTGCTTCCCTAAAACATGTTTAATGATCTCATTTATTATGTATGCAGAGTTTTCCTTACAAAAATAAGTCTTACAACTAGGGTTAAACTCATCTTGGTGTAAATGCAGAGTAAACTCGCTAAGTTAGAATTCATAACAGCAGAATGTGCACTTCAGTGCAGAATGTGGTGCCTAATTTGTTGCTTCTGACCGGGAAAAGTGCAATTGTTTTCCTGAATGCTGTGTACTAGAATACTTTTGAGTAGGAAGGTTATTGCAATTTGTGTCATTTTTTTGCATGTGCTAAATTTATTACTGAAGAACTTTCCTATTGGAACTTCCCTGCCAAATAGGAAACAGAGAAGATAATTTTCTAACCACTTTATAGCACTTAAATAATATACCAATTTGTAGAACTCACTCCACACAAATTTTAATAATCAAAAATATTGGTATAAAGGACCTTCATATAAAATCAACTGGGAGAATGCTGTTGCTGTGCTTTAGGAAAGAAAAAACAGCATTGGTTACTGTGCAGCTACCTAAGGAAATAATACTGTAGGATCAGGAAATTACAAAAAAAAAGCACTTTTTAAACCTGTTTTGCATTGTTAATTATAATAGTTTAATATTTTAAATAATAAAAAAGTTTGTATCACTTGATGATGCAAGTATTAACATGTGTTTGTAGAATTCCATACAGTATCTGGTAATAAACAAGTTTGGCAGCTTAGCAAATATCGTATGATTGCAGCATCCATGATTTGAATCCAAACAGTGATTTATTATTCTGCAAGAATTTGTAAATCAGAATAGCACACTCCTGAGTTCTGGATGGTGCCTAACCCCATTGAGTTTGAGGAAAATATTTTTAGTGCATGGCCCCTGTGTAGAACTGCCCAAATTAAACGATTGTCTCCTTTGAGTTCCTTTTGAGGGACTGCAGACCCAGCAGGGACTGCCGGTTGGAGGGGATGTTGGCAGACTTTGGGATTAGGAGTATCACATGCTGATTGGTCCGACGCCATTCGTTGTATAATCTACAGTGATACCTAAAGGATACCTGGGGAGAGACGAGAGAAGCATGGTGTTTAGCATCACTGCAGTCCTCCAAGGAATCAGCTGTCGTTTGGGGTGAAATGGCTTCAAGTGGAACAAAAAGCTGGTACGCAGCCTAACTGGGCAGGATAAAATAGAGCAAAAAGTGGCAGGCAAAGATGAGCCCTACCATGTAGACAGCTTGTTCCCTAAGTTGCTACAGCAGAGGAAAAAAACAGCCTGTGTCCTACTTCCTGCTGTTGCCTACCTCTCATTCCCTTTTTTATACAAGAGAAATCAGACATCCTGCCTCTTTCTTTCCCAAAAAGTAGAATTATTGGCAGCCACTTACAATGAGAAAGAGTTTGGGGTACTATCACGCTGCAAGTTGTTAAACTGACAAATAACGTAATTTGCTGGATGGTGAAGGTTTTGCAGGTAGCTAAGTTGTGTGCAAACACTGACAGGGTCATATACTCTACCTTCTAATGTATTATTGCTGAACGCATTGAATTCAAGTTTGCACAGATGCAACAAGGTGATTGTGACCCATCTGCCAACGTGTGTGTATCTCAATTTAGATTGTCTTTGAATTTTTGTTATTATCAACTATCCAATTTCAACCTTAGTGTGGTTCTGCTAATAGTGAAAGAGGAATGACTGCCTGCTATGGATATACAAGATAGCTTGACCCTATATTTTTTAAAAATAGTTTACTGCTGATTTTAGTGACAGTCAACACACTTGGTTTGCACAGGTGGGTGGAAGATGCTGCTGACTCTGTTTGTAGAGAAGTGGCTGTGCATGCGGCTGTCAAAAGGGGCTACAGCAATGACAGTCTGGCTGCCAGTGAGGTACGGCAGGATATTAAGTAATATACATGCTTATGAATGTATCTTTCATAACCCTTTACTTATTGCAGAAAGGGTGCTTTTAAGTAAATAAATTATTTACCTTTCTATAAAATCCTACTAGGTACAAAAAAAGACTTTCTCATTTTTTTACTAGATCTTTATACAGTTGTCTGCTGTTAATGAGAGAAACCTACAGAGCTTTTGTTCACTATGCAGTGGCCCAAAGATCTCTTCCAACAGATGAATTGATTCCCCACCTTTTAATCTCCTCTGCTTCCTCTGAAGGTAAAGCAGTCTGCATCTTTGTTTCTGTGGAACATCATATATGTAAGAATATGAAAAATCTCTTTCAAAAAGGCACTGCAGTATCAGCAAAACTCATGTGTTAGAGGGAGGAGGAAAACAAAACAAACCACCTGCAAAGATGAAGGCCATGCAAAATGCAGTGCCGGCTTCAGAGGAGTGAGCTAGAGTTTAGGTTGAATTTTCAAGTAGCATGACATGAGATTCTTTGAGGAACGGCCGCATTGTTAAGCCAGGCTTTAACTGCTTGTTTGTTTAAGGCATTTTCACAGGATATCCTAGTTAAGTTTGACAGCTTGTTTACAATGGGTAAACTGCCTGGAGGCAGTTTCCAAGTGATGTCAGCCACTGAATTTCAGCAGAGCCACAGTTACTCACCCTAAGCTGTTACACTGGATGCACAACTCTTGAGATGCAGAACAAAGGCCAGATTTACACTGGTCCTTGGCACACTATTGCCTCTTCAATAGAATAGCAAGGGGGTGTCTATCTTTCTAACTTATTCTGAATTAATTTGGGCTAGCCTGTGTTTTAAACCAGCAGTTATGTCATACTGGAAGCTATAAGGCCAAATCCTGTTGTACTCCAACCTGCTACATTATGACAACAGTCAAGATTACCTGTATGCAAGAGAAAGCAGTGTGGCCCCGAATTCTTAGTTTAAATAGCAGCCTCCTTTTTGTTTGAAGCTTTCTCCTTGGGAGTAGCCAGCTTTTTTTGTGTATACATCAATAACAGTGATTAAATACAGAGGAAGAGCAACTGCATTTTATGAAGAACTTGGCTGTTTTAGGGGAAGGGATAAAATAGCTTTTGGATGCTGAAAATAGCATCTCTCTTGTTCTCTGCTCACTGGGATAACTGTGGTGTGTAAATAATCTATATGCCAGCTTTTGCCTCCAGAGAAAATAAACTGATTTATTGAAAGTAAAATGAAGTTTTAGGTTTTTTTAATTTTCCCAGGGCCTAAAGGAGCACTACATCATATGTTGTGTGTAATTTACCCTACAGCACTCACTATCTTCCCTGTACAGCCATAACTAAGCAAGCAGTACAAGATTCTCCCATTTCTGAAAATTAAAGGGCAGGTATTGCTGAAGCACTCAATAGTGTCAGCACTTCTGCAAATGGGTCCATTCCTCACTGCATGGCAAGGGGAGCGTGGAGCCTCCCCAAGGCAAGTGTAGACTGGGGCTTTCCTGCATGACTGATGGGTGTCAGGCTGCTGAGCAGAGAGTGAGCATGTCTTCCACATGTAGGGTGCTGAGTTCCATTTGTAAAGTAGTTGTTTTAAATCTCTACCTTGATTGTGCAAATCTGCCCTCTGAGAAAGTGTGCAAAAATGTTGTCACTCAAGCCTGTTGACTTAATCTGCAGATACACTTAAACCTCCTCAAAACTCTTCCATCCAATACTAATGCTGTGAGGGCAATCAGGGCGCCTTCTGTACTGTGAAGAAACCCTGAGAGTCCTTCCCACCATCCCCCTTTGCTCTGCCCACTGAATTAACACCATGCTGAACACGCAGCTTACTGTGCCCTGAAAGGCTTCCTGCCTTGCCCTTCCCTGATGAACACAGTGCTTCATTAGTCCATCCACCTCCTGCTGGTCTGAACAGATTAGAGTGGAATTACATCTTCCACAACTCTGGATATTAGACACACTGTATTTCAATTAAATCAAACAAGGTATGCATTTACATCAGGCTCACTATCACCATATTCTCCAAGTGCCAATAACACATTTCTCTGTATGCTTTTGAAGGGGTAAAAGTTACAAAGTGAATAAAAGGGATTTTTGCCACTTACAATGCAAATGCAACAGACAATATAAGGGATTACAACTGAGATGCTGCAGAAGTCTTATGGAGCAAGGTCAGATACGTCCATGTGTCACGGGTGATTAAATCCAACTACTTAGTCAGATTACCGTTTCCAACTTCCAACCATTTTGGTGCTTGTTAATTATATATATTAAGTAAATTGGACAGCATTTGGTTTCTAAGATAGGCATACAAAAAGAAAATTTCAACAACCTTTGCTTGACATGTCAACACACAGTACTTCAGGAAAGACAAATGCCACCTCACTGCTGGAGTAAATGGACATCCTGTCAAAGAGGAGTGCTGCTACTTCACAGAAAATGGAAGCAGAAACATCAAAAAGAAAAACTGCAGGAGGCTGAGGCAAAACTCTGAGCCTTCCCTACTGTTGTGCACTGCTAAAATTAGCCTGCAGTCCTCCATAGATGGATTTCTATGACAGGATTTCACCGCTGAATGAAGTAAATGAGATGTTACCTTTCATAGCTTTCTTGCAACTAGTTAGTGGGAGGTTTTTGTGTTTCCCCCATCTCCCCTCTTTCAAGTTTACTCTGGGCTCAGTACAGGGGTTTCTTGCTTGAGCTAGCTCTACTAATGCAGTTCTTGAAGTGCCACCTCTACAGATCAAAAACTACTGGAAGGGGTCAGCCACATAGCGTGTGTCCATACCCACTGAGGAGGGAGAGCTGGGCACTGGTCTTGTGGGATTAGTGGCTGTGACGGCACCGTAGGCAGGGTGGTCTTGCCCCCACTCAGAGCAGCACAAGCTCAGATAAGCTTTTCCTCTCACAGTAGCACAGCCGTACACCATTGCACAAGCATTACTCTGCTAGCGTGAATGCTCCCTGTCTGCATCTGCTGTTCTGTACTCCTTCCCCCCCAAGCTAGAGGTGTGAAATGTCAAACTCAACCTGGGGTTTTCAGTGAACTGCTAGACCACGGCTTGATAAACACTTATTTTGTCAGCTCTTCTCTGTGTTCCCTTACTTTTCTGCTGGGCCAACTGTTTGCTGGTGCGCTGTGGCCAGGACCTGATCTCAGTTTAACAACTTGGCACAAAACAAGTGGCTTTTAGGATGGATTGGCACAAAAGTGACAGCACACCTGGGTACAGCATGGGAATAAGGCCGTGATTTAATCTGCACTGCAAAGGCAGCTACGTTTCTACAGACCCGGGTGTAAGGTGCATTCTGCAGTGGACTTCTCACAGCGCCATGAGCACGAGGAATGGGGAAAGCATGGGATGCACTCACATCCAAGGCTTTTGGATTGCAACACTGGCCTGATGTTGGATTAGAATAAAATCTGAATCCTTTGTGGCAGCCAGGTTGTTCACCTAAAGTTTTTTTGTGCACAGTGCCTCCATCTGTTGCACATTATCTGTGATGAAACTCCCTCCTGTAGCATCTGTCTTGAACTCCTCCATGTTACTTCCTTGTCTCCCTCTTGCTATCCCCTCTGGTGTTTGGAATCTGGGAATTACTGACCGCAAAACCAAACTGTTCTTCTGTTTTTCCAGAGAACTTAATGGTGTGGAACCAAGAGGTTTCTTTTGCTTGCAGCTGTAACTTAAATTTATCAGTACAGAATGTAAATATAAGCAATGCTTTGTACAATGGTCCACCCACTCTACAGCACTCTGTGCAATTTATTTTTTGATTTGTTCTTTCCCTTATTCCCATGAGTTGAATAGAAAACCAGTACTTACTAGGGTCCAAAAGAGGTAAATAGTGAAGAGTGCGACAGTGAGTGCAACGAGGCCAACAGCTTCTAGCCTACTACTAAACTGCAGATGGTCCACTGCTCCTCGTAGACACAACCAGCCAGAGATGGTCGCCAGTGGAGTGATAAACAAGAAGCACACCATGTCTCCAAAGAGAGTCCGTTTCTCGTGCTGGGGGCCTGGGTTCTTCAGCCACTGCAGGTAAAATGCAGACAAAGCAAGTGTCAGCACAGGAAGGACATTTTACCTGAGATGAATTGCTCGCTTGCAAAATGCTGACCTGCCCCTCTGAGGAGGGAACATGGAGCTGGCTTTGGCTGTCCCTTGAGAGCTCCCACCAGAACTTCTCCACCTTGCTGCTGCTGACGCACACCTCTAGCCATGTGTACCTACAGCATCGTTTATTCAGCTGTAGCAAAAGCTGCCTTGAGAAGGGGAAATGTTTTGCATATTGCAGCCCCTGGCATTTGGCTCCTGAACTGAGAAACTCCCTTCTTAATGTGGAGGGAACCCACACTCTTGTGACAACTTGAGAGTGCAGAAAATGCTTGTTAATATTTTGTATGCTATTTCCAGATTTTTTTTTTTTATTTTACATTCTGTTTGTAATATTGGCAAAGCCATTTGCAACTTACTTTCAGATATCTGCATGCAAGCAGAGTTGAATGCACACAAGGTTACTTTTATTGAGAGGATATTAATCTTGCAAAAAAGCATGCCTGAAAGTCAGCTGCTGAAGCGAAGGTCAATTGAACAGCTATCAAGCCCACTCACCCATGTTTCTATAAACAGTATTTTAGATAGCAGAGGTGAAAGAAGTTCAGCCTGCAACTGTACACTGAGACCTTTTAATAAAAAATGCCTCATCACTCAAGTCAGTATTTGACAGGAAGACTACCGAGCCCTGCAATTTTTGCCAATGATGTAAGCCGTATGATTTGGTCAAAACTGCTCTGCAGCATCCTTTTATTTTTGTTGTTCTTTGAGCGTATAACTGTATGCACAGAACTACCAAGGATAGCAAATATTTCTTACTGTAGCACCTGGGAACCCCAACCAGCCTGGGAGCTGTACATATTACCCTAGCCACTGAGGGCAAACACATCACGTACTGCACAGGACTGCGTCTGCCCCAGAGAATCCACAATCTAAGCAGAGGAGTCAAAGCCAGGAATGGGCAGTAGAGGTGGAGTGAGCTGTCATAACCCCAGCTGCCTGCGTGGCCATAGCTGGGTACAGGGCAGGCTATCGATTCCCAGCCTGGCATGTCCCTCCCAGCCTCCTGGCTCTGAGTGTGGAGACCATGCTGAAGGCAAGGAAAGTCATGCTCCTCCAGGGAGCTACTGCTTTATCTGTCATCAGTGCAACAAGAAACCAAAGCCACAGCAGCTCTGTGCCAGTGGACGTGGACAAGGCTCGTGCATCCTTAAACTGTTTGGCCTGCTTGCTCCTCCCAGCATATTATACGTGGCAGTAGGAGCCCTGCCTCTTTAGCTCCAGAAATGAAGGCTGGGGAGGTAACTTCATCCCTTCACTAGTTAATGCCCTTTATTCCCAGCCACCTTGGGTTCTTTTCTTCTTCCCTATAACAGTGCTACAGCAATGACCCAGAGGAACAGCAGGACTCGAGAATTTTGACAAGAGACAACAAGGCTAAGAGTGTTGTGCAAGCTAATGAATATTTCTCATCTAGGTATTTTATCCCTCTATTATTTTCAGACCCTGCTTCATCTTTATCCACTTTGCCCACATCATGAAATCAAATACAGCATTTATCTCTCCATCTTCGTATGGGGTAAAACAACGGTCAAGAAATTGAGTGCAACTAGGAACAGGGAGTCACTAATCTGGCACTAATAGACACAAATCAGTAGACAAGTTTGCCTCAGTCTCACCATCTCTCAGATGGAAATAATAAATTATCTACTTCACAGGATTTTTGTGAGGTTTAACTGCAACACAGTAACTCAGCAGCCTAAGATCCATTTTCATGTATGACTCAGAAATTTAGGAGAACACAAAAATATGTTCATAAACATTTTTTGAAGGATGTAAGCTTTTAATTTGCTTGAATACTTTTAAAATCCTAAGGAAGTGGGAAGTGCTTCACAACTGCTATATACTACTATAAGCAAGAAACTTTTAAGGGCAGACGCTAGTTAAAGAGAGAGGTTCAATATTGTTTTGGTTTTTTTTTTTTCCTTTTCAAGCAATGTCTTAAGTTCAAGATTATTTAACATACCAGAACACCGGGTGTGGTGGGTTCACCCCAACCAGCTGCAAAGCACTCACACAGCCGCTTGCTCACCCCCTCACCCCATTGGTATCATGGAGAGAACAGTAAAAGGCTGCAAGCAGAGTTTGCTTTAACAGAGTTTGTACAAAATAAGGAGACATACATTGACATTTGAACAGCTTTGTATTTTATTATAACTTTATAGAGAACACTATAAAATCATGTGTGAAAGGTTCACACCACTTTCCTTAGAGCTTTCATTCCATTTACTTAAAAACATCCCCAAGGGTGCATGCGTAACGGTTTCAGGTTGTATTTAGTCGCTTTTAGACAGGACTGATTGCAACCTTCACCTTGTTCAATTTCCACAAACCCCTGTAATGCAAAATCATCAGGAAAATGAGAGGAACTGAAAGCACCTAGTAGTGGAGATTTTGCTTTTAAAGGTGACTGTGAAAAGGTTTTGTGAAAACTATGTTTAAAACGTGATCTGCAAGAGAATTGCAGAGCACCTGCACTTCTTGATCTCAATGGGAATTGCAGGTGTTCACCACCATCCCAGGCCAGTCCTTAAAATGCCAATATCTCCTTATCTCAGTGCGATGTGATGACTGTCCCTCCTGTAACTGGGCAGTAAAGAAAGCACTGCAACATTTCAGAGTCCATTTAGTGGAGGCTGCATCCTCAAATTGCAGGCTGTTGTGATCTCTTTGGCCTCCATGCAGCTCAGCTAGTGCAAGAAATACTGTTTATTTATCTGAGGGAGAAGGAAGAACAGCAAGAATGCATAAATGCAAGGAAGCACACACATTAAGGTATGTACTGTCATCTCTGCCCTACGACTTTCACAAGACATAGTATAATGCGCCTGAATTAAGCATTTTACTGTGCGCCATCTAACTTGATTGGAAGTTTGAGCAGACAAAAATGGTGTGAGACTGCTTCACAGGCTGATGGCTCCCCACACTCCTTATGTCTTGTCCGATCCATATGAGCATAAGCAATTCAGATGTTAGATGAGGCTAATATGTAGTTTTAAATAAAACCTCCACCATTCTACAGTTTAACCTTAAAAGGTGGAGAAATTTCATTAGCTAGTTCTGAAGTGGAGGTCAAAAGCACTGGATAAGTAATTTCAATGGCTGTATGGATTTCAGTCACAGCACGTATTTTTCTTCTGAAGTAGTGCATTTGTTTCTAAATCTGATTCTGTTTAGATCAGAGATTTCAGTCTTTTGTTCTGGAAATGTGCACTGTCAAGTTACTTCATAGTTAAAAAGCCAAGTCAGCAAATCCTTTTGTGAAACTGAAACCCACAGAATGATCCCAACAAAGTGCTGAGTTGATTAATTAGTGTGGCAATACAGCACGGACTACCCTGCTGGCAAAGAACAAGATGTAAGGCCAGATGCAACTGTCAGATCTGCACTATGACACTCTGAAACCTGTCCTTTAAAATGTGTCAATAATGTGCTCAATTATTTCTGCAATAAATTGAGACTGTCGCAGTAATAATTTCTATTTTGAAAAAAAAAAAAAAAGGTCAAAAAAAGGGTCATGTCTGAAGCAAAATGCTGGTCTGCCTGGCAAAGCACTATGTTATCAAGTGCTATCTTAAAGTGAACAGTGATTCCTGTTTCTGATACACAGATGGAGGGTCAGAGTAAAAAGACATGAAGACATGAATCAACTTTAGCAATGGCAGCAAGCACGAATTCAAGAACAGGTAATCACAGCGCCTGATGCACAACCCAGTATCGGCTCATGACTGACACAAGCAAAGAAACCCTGTGCCTGGAGACTAATATACACCTGATGAGAATCCAGCTCCTCAACAAAACACAGGGTCCCACCTCATCCCTCACAGTGACACATACCAAATGGGGTCTGCTCAGAAGCAAAACACTCCCCAAAACCTGAGCTAATGGCTGTAGCTGCATGATATCTCTCTGCTCCCCCAGCTGTCCATACCACCCCTTCGGCAGTGGGTGCTGCTGCCACCATCATGTGGACCACATGCACTGCTCCAGCACACGGGGCTCTCCGCTCAGTCAAGCCCAGCTAAATGGGGCAGGTGTTGCTGAAATGACCCAGACCATCCGGCCCCGGGGAATAGGCACTTCCCAAAGAGCAGCTGCAGCAATCGGTCTGGGCAGGGCAACATCATACACCACACATCTCTTTGCCCAGCAAACGTGTGCCTAAGCCTGCAGGCAGTGGCAAAAGCTCTGCTGAGACACACTGGTGATTTCCCTTTTGCTCAGACAGCATCGCTTCAACTGGAAAACAGAAAGGGCATCAAGAAAATGGAAAGCCCACACCACAGGAGGGGACTTTAAAAGTTTGACTCAATTATGCCGGCAAAATCACACTCTCAATGCATCTTGAGGATGGCCAAAAGAAGGAAGAATTGAAGGGGACATCATTGAAGGAGAAGTGCTACTTAAGCTAATGGACAATGTTGGCTTAAGAATAAATGCATAATAGTTGGCCATAAATAAATTTCGGATAAGAATCAGAAAAAAATCCCACCCTTGAAAGCATCCAGGTCTGGAACAGCTTCCCGAGAAGAGCAGTGTAGGCTAAAACACCCAAAGCTGATACTGTTTTATGAAGGAACTTGCTTATGTTTTGAAAAAGATTTTTAATGTACTGCATTTGACATGAGAAAACACTGTTAACACCCCCAAGGCTCCTTCACCTCACACACTGACACATGTAATACATATACAAGGATTTGGTGCAGTTACTTCACAAAGCAGAGCTGAACTTAAATTATTATCTGCCCTAAAAAGATTAAACTGAGCTGTTGACCGTCATCAGAGGGTCTCCACACTTCCTTCAAATGAATGCAAACTCTAGTGGTCAGGAATTTAACAATAGTCCCTGGGAGACTTTTGGTCTATGAACCCACTACTGGCTTCCAAAATTTTATCTGATATTTAAAACTGCATGTGTA